CCCCCCCCCCCCCCCCCCAGGCTCTTTCTCTTGCAGGACTTTGGGCGGCGACTTCAGCTGCTTGCAGAAACCTTCCACCATAAGCGATGTGTCCTCAAAGTTCACTCCTTTACACATGACGCACCCAACCGGCGACGGTGAGAGAGGCTGATTGAGGGTCCAGCATGGGTTGGGAAAGGACTCCCATTGCCCTCCATGCCCCCTGTTGACCTGGCTGCCCTTTCCCGACCCTAGGAGGCTGTTCCTATGCAGTGCAGCCACTGATGGCAGCCTGGCCTTCTGGGACCTCACCACTGTGCTAGACCATGGCACCACTGTCCTGGAGCCACCTGCGGTGCCAGGGTTTCCCCACCGTGAGTTAACTAGTGTGCATTGGGCTGGCCTTCCCCACCCTTTCCCCCTCTACTATGTAGCAAGCTGAGTCCTGACAACCATCTTCTTTCCTCAGAGCTGGGCACCCCCTGCTTCACCCTGGAGGCCCACAGCTGTGGTATCAACAGTTTGCACACTTTACCCACATGTGAAGGCCACCATCTTGTGGCTAGTGGCAGTGAGGATGGCTCCCTTCATGTCTTCGTGCTTGCTATAGAGGTGCCAGAGCTAGAAGAGGCTGCAGGGGAGGCTGAGCTAGGGTCCCAGCTACATGTACTAGAGGAGTACACTGTCCCCTGTGCACATGCTGCTCATGTGACAGGCCTCAAGATCCTGAGCCCAAACCTCATGGTCTCAGCCTCCATTGACCAGCGACTGACCTTCTGGCGTTTGGGGCACGGTGAGCCTGCCTTCATGAACAGTGCTGTGTACCATGTGCCAGATGTGGCTGACATGGACTGCTGGCCTGTGAGCCCTGAGTTTGGCCACCGCTGTGCTCTTGGGGGCCAAGGGCTTGAGGTTTACAACTGGTATGACTGAGGTATGCTGCAGTGTCTGACATGCTGGCCAGGGGGCCTGCTCATAAGTAGTATGGAGCAGTGACTGTGCCCATGCCCGGTGTGCCTTAAGGGGAAGTAGAGGCAGCCTCAGATTCCTGACTTCACAGTAAGAGCTGGAGGTTATAACAGCATTTTTTATTTTGGCTCAAGGCCCTCACCAAAATCTGTGGAGCCTTTTTTTTCTCCTCCAGTCAATGATTTTTCTGGTTACCAGATGTTAGGGCCTTGTTGCTTCAAATGTGGTTCAGTGGAGGGAGGCCCAACATGGCCAGGCCAGCATGTAGCACTTCACGAACGGCCCGCAGAAGCTGCAGGCGAGCAAACATCTGACCGAAGAGATGTGGTCGAGGTTCCTAGAAGAGAAAGGTTCTGCTGCTCTCATTCTCTGCTTTCCCTGTCTTTACCTAGCACCCCTCCTTTGCCTCCCATGCTCCCCATTTTTCTGTGTGCTTACCCCTAAGATGTGTATGCGGTTATAGTATGAGCTGAAATCCATGCTGAGCTGCACCAGGAACTTGCACACCTGGAGACAGACTAATCAATGGCCTGTTCCTTGGTACTATTGTGCCCCAGCCCAGAATAAAGAATAGAGTCTGTAGTGTCTGTCCTGGTCTACTCACCATCTCTGTGCGTGCAGTGAGATGGAGCCCTGGGGCTGTGTAGGCCAGGGCTGTTGTCTGACTCAGCAGCTCTGGGAAGGGGAGGACACTGTTGAAGAGCAGCAGCCACTCACTCTGTGGTAGGGAGAAAAGGGTGCTGGGAGGAAAAGGCCAAGCCCCTACGTTTGCCAATTCCCCAGTTGGGGCACGTACCTCATCATGCAGCAGTGAGAAGTCCAGATTGCTCACAGGCGGAAAGGTGGGGTACAGACCTTGTTCCACACTATGCATGTAACTCTCAAAGAGTGTGGCAAGACGGGCACAATTGTACATGACAAAAGTGCCACTTTTGGTGCCCTTTGTGGAAACGCTAGAGTCAGCCAGGGTCAGGAGGAGCTGAGGAACAGGGCACAGCTTTAGAGAGGGAGGGCAGACACCACACCTTGTGGTCACAGCCCTGGTCCTGTAGGGCACCTAAGTCTTACCTGACTCTGTGGGGCTGTGCTGAGCATCTCAAATTTGATGGTAGCTGCAGAGAGAATCCCAAAGATCTCTGTCCAGGCTGGATCTGAGAGAGTAGAGCTCAGTCAATCAGTATCTGCAGGCAGGGAACAAGGGGTGGGCATACAAATGATTTGTCCCTACCCCAAAGCATAGCTGGAGTCTCCCAGACGCACCTTGTACCAGATCCCCACCATGCTTGAGTGCTGAGGCCTTGCACACTTGGGCGAGCCGGAGCCTATGTTTTAAAAAGAGCAGGGCCAGTGGGTAGGGTCCCAATGAAGACCTGCCTCCCCCATCTCAACTACCCTGGTTCAAGGTGGCCTTCCTTCTGGCTTCACTCACTTGTAGTACTCGGGGGCAGTCAGGGTACTGAGTTCACCAGTGCCTTTCACCGGGCCACAGACCAGGTGCTTCTGTCAGGAAGATGGTAGGGACTCAGTCCAGTTGGTACTACCCTCCAGTAATTCCAGGAAATCAACTCAGTGCTCCCAAGGCTATAATCTTGATAGACTGCATTCATCTTTCTTCCTTGGAGTGGCTGGTGGGTTCTAACAGTCAACCTTGAAGTTAGCAGCACAAAGCTAAACCCAGGGCTCCATGTTAAGTGCCATTGAGTCAGTTCTGACTCATAGTGACTCTGTATAGGGATACTGAGGCTTTAAATTTTTGCAGGAGCAGAAAGCCTCATCTTCCTCCTGTGGAGTGGCTAGTGGACTCAAACCACGGACCTTGTGGTTTGCAGTCTAGGGCTCCTAATGGTGGTGGTATGCCGTGGAGTCAGTTCCAACTCATAGCGACCCTGTATAGGGTTTCCAAGGTTGTAAATCTTTATGGGAGCAGAAAGCCTCACCTTTCTCCTACGGAATGGCTGGTAGTTTCGACTGCTGACCTTTAGGTTAGCAGCCTGACTAGTAACCACTACTCTACCAGAGCTCCTTATAAAAGACCCAAATTTAGTGCCTCTGTTCCACCAGGGTCTCTCCAGTCTGTCACCACCTGGTTTAGTGCCTCCAATCAAGCCCAGCCTCTCAGGACACAGTCCAGACCCCATCAACCTGTTCAAGGTTCTCTGGAATGTACTTCCACACCCTGTCTGCTCCCATGCCCACTGAAGAAATCCAGTCTTTCTTTCAAGGTCAAGTGTCACCTTCTGAAGCCACTGGCTATCCAACCCCTAGGTGAGTTTTCAAGGGCTCTTTGAAGCTGGGTGGAAAGCTCCATTACTAACCTGTCGGAGAGGTGCCTGGTCATCCAACTTCCACCAAAGCAGGTCTAACTTTTGTTGCTGGAACTCCTCCTCACAGCTTACCACGTGTACAACAATGCAGCTGTCTGCACCAGAATCTGGGGTTTCAGCCTATAGGGTAGGGGGATGGTCACTTCACTTTGGGAACACAGGACACCTGGCTCTACAGGACACCTACAGGGCAGAAGAATTGCTAACCAGGCCTGGGGAGCTCTCCTCAGCACAGTTCTGTACAGCTTCCTGCAGCTCAGCCAGGGAGAAGAGAAGATTCTCAGTCACTGCAAACAAGAGAGCTGGTGAGGTGTGCAACTGTTATCTTCCCCGCCCTCTTTCTGGCCCTAGTAATCTCCAGGTCCTACCCAGACAGTTGTCTAGGTTGGGGTCATAGCCAGCTGGGCGTCCCTGCTCTTCCATCAGCTCTTTCAGAGACACTCTGCCCAAAACCCCTGGGGCCAAGACTTCCCCATCTTGGGTAGAAGCAATCTCTGTAAGCACGCGACTCCTCAGGGCTTCAGTCGCAGTTCTCTTAGAGGTAACAGGCCATTCCACTCGCAGTTGTTGCAGGAAGGTCATCATGTGTGGGTCCCGTGTGGAGGGCACCAGACATACACTTACCCTAAATAGTTTAGAGGGAGAGAGACCACCTCAATTGTGCCCAGCCCAACTATGACCAACTTCCTGCTTCTAGCACGGATCCCCGTGTCCCAGGAGATCCTGCCTTCATTTGGGTCCCACGCCCTGGCTCACCCACGAGCGCGCAGGGTTCGTGCTAGATGATCAGTCACGAGAATCGCACGTAGCTGGCTCAGACGAAGGGTGCCGGGGGCGCCGCGCAGTGCCGGGCAGTGCAGGACAACTCGTGGACTGGGCGAGGTGGGTGCGGCAGGCGTAGCGTAGGCAGCCACTGAGCCTAGGACGCGCTCGAAGACAGCGGGCCGCTGCAATTGGAGCGCCAGGCCGGCAGAGGTGACCGTGCAACACAGCACAGGGGCAACACCAGGACCCTGAAGACCAGCTACAGCACTGACTACGGGATCGGGCACCTGCGGGTGAACAGGAGGGTGAGCAGACCCTAATGCCCACACTACCCAAGGCTGCTAGTCCCCGCCCGATTTATGTTCACCTGCTCGTTCCCGAAGCGTGCCTGTAGCGCGCGCCTTGGAGCCAGGAAGTCACGAACGCGCAAGTGGTGGGCGCGGGTCTCCTTGAGCCACACTGAGCCGCAGGATCCCAGGGCAGCATTCAGGGCCCCTAAAGTCTCCCCAATCCCAAGGCGCCCTGTCGCCATGGTGACCGGAAAGGAGTGAACGGAACCGGAAGCAAAATGTTATGTCCAACTTCCGGGGAGGGGAATTGACTGGGCACAGTCCAGAGGGGGCACAGGTGCGTCCGAGTGAGCTGAGTCGGTTTGTCTACCCTTTTCCCCTCGTATCTTCTGCGCGTGGCCTACCTCCCGTACCAGGTTTCCCTCCTCCTCCCGCCGCCTTTGCTTTTAACAACTGGGAAAAGAATCCTGGTGACCTAGTTGAGGGGATGATGCCCAACCTGGAGCCTTATCAAAGTCTCACATTTCAGTATTTGCATGGCTTCTTGTAGTCCATTTTACATATAATTGTTAAGTGCTGTCATTCCGACCCATAGTTACCCTCTATAGGGTTTCCAGGGAGCAGCTGGTGAGCTTGAACCACCTACCTTGCAGTTTTGACACATTAGCCCACAGCACTACACCGGGACTCCTTACATATAATTAAAATGTTAAAAGTCTTGACACTGGAAAGGAGCAACTAACATTGAGTCACTTTCCACCAAAAAACCCAAACCCACTGCCCTGGAGTTGATTTCAACTGAGTCCCTTTACAGAGCACTTGTGGTAGAACTGCCCTGTGTCTCCAAAGCTGCACATCTAAATAGAAGGGTTCGAACCACCAACTTTTTGGTTGGTGGGCCAGCACTTTTAACCACGGTACCAACAGGTCTCCTTCGTAACTGGTTAAAAACTCTCAAACAAAATATGTTCTGTAGTTTCAGGTTATTTGCAAGCATTTCCTTGTTGAGATTAATATTTTATTCCCTCCACATTCAGGTTTTCTCTAGAAACGTAGGCAGTTTGAACCATTATGGATGTTTCCAGAATTACCGGTTTTTAATACGACTCAATGGCACTTAACAATGCTTCTTAAAACTGGCGTACTTTAACAGTAATCCTCCCACTTCCTGTTTTAAGCAAGGAACCATTATGGGGGCAGCATTATGACTAAGATCCAGGGTAGCACTCAGCTGGAGCATCCGTTTTTTTATTTTACCAGCAGGAAGACTCTTTTTCATTTCGAAGTAAATTAATTCCTCCAGGTTTTGTTTTTTTGATATTGAGCCCCATTCAGCATAGAGCTCTATGAACTCTGTCCTCGATGGATCCAGTACCCAGAGCTTGAAGAGGAGGAAACCCCAGGGGCAGAAAAAGTTTGGCAAGGCCCCTTTCTGGGCTAATGCTTTGCTAGGGCTGCAAAACCCGGTTGGGAGGCGCCAAAAGAGCACTGGGCGGACACGACATTCCCGATGGCTTCTTGAGTGCCCACTCAGCGGGAGTGATCGTGTCATTCCAAAGCGCTTTCCATGCCACAGGCTCCTGACAGTGGACGGCTGCAAGCTGTGGCCTTCAGCCTCTCTCGGCCCATGAAGACGGTTGGGGTGGTTTTACCCCCAGGAAGTGAAGCGCTATGTTTAGCTAGCTGTGGGCTCACCACCACTGGAGCACTATCCGGAGGTCTGGGCCTGTCTCCCCGACCTCCAATGCCTTCAGGGTTTCCAGAGGACCACTGGCCCCTGTTCTCTCTTGAGTCTATACCCTCCACAATCAGCGGGAGGTCACAATTGAGGGGAGGAGACCAGAATGGCCCAGCAAAGTATGTTTAGGGTTAACGATAGCCCACCCCATCTGGCCAAGGCTGCTGCTCAGGCAAGAGAGCAGGGAACGAAATCCAAGCGCAGCTGGAATGCTCTGGAGACAACAGCTGCTTTTGGGATTCCGTTGCCCGCTGTCCCGCCGTGGGGGGAGGGGGCTCCTGCCCCCAGGTCCCTCGCCTCTTGCCAGACAAAATTCCTATTCCCAGTCCCCTGGGGGCGAATTCAATAGTAGCCAGTGAGTCTAAAGGAAAAGAGGCGCTCACCTGAGCCCCAGAACAAAGGGGGGGGGGGCTGCTTTGGGATTGGATCCCGATCCGGATTAGCTCCACCAGACAGGGTTAGTCCCGTTGGTCCCAACGCAGCCAGAGCTACAACGGTGGGTCAAGTTTCGGGGCAGGCTAAAAGGGAAACGAGTCTGCTAGGCCTGGGAGAAAGTAAACACGCGCGGCCGCCTCAGGGGTACCCCTGCGCCCGAGTCTTTGTCCAGTGACGCTGCCAGCGCCCAGGACACCAGGGGCCGAATGAGTCCGCATGGCGGCGGCAGGACCTCTAGCAGCCCATTGTGGACCGGAACTGGACGACCAACTGCAAGGCCTCGCTGTGCCAAGCCACCCGTCCACCCTCTTGGCCACGCAGGTACAAGACTGGGCCACATCCCCCTGTGGAGGCCAGGCGGACCCAGTTAGATGCCCGAATCCAGCGCGGCCGCAAGCGCCTCTCGAGCCAGCAGGCCCTCTGACTCGGCTCAAAATGGGGGTGGAAACTCTCGGAACGCAAGCCGAGCAGGCGAGGCCAGGCGATGCTCCAGTAGTTAGCTCAATGTCTGCTCCGGTCCGGCTAGGTTGCTCCCAACCAAAAAACATCACTAGCACCTCCGCGGCGTCCCCTTCCGCTGGCTCTGGGCGCAGATTTAGAGCCATTTTAAGGTGAAGCTACCAGCCACGCCCCCTCGCGCTCCCATAAAGCCAATCCACGCGCGACCACGCCCCTCGCGGCGCGCGGCGGCGCCGTCAACGGTCGCGCGGATGACGGTTGGGAAGGGGCGTAATTCGGGGGCGAGGCGGAGAAACCTGACTCGCTGGACTCGCCCTTGGAACCCGACACCCTAAAGCCTGGGATTAGGGGCTCAAAGGCTGGCCCCACGCCCTGGCCAGGTGTGCTGGTCACGACCAGGTGCGCGGCCGCCCCGCCCTGGGCGTTCGTAATGGCTGAGAGTCGAGGCAGCAGGACACCGCTGGGGCCCAGTCTGTGCCTTGAGGGCAGCCACACCGCCAGGTGCCCCGCTCCCCTGGGACTGCCGGAGGGGGCCCGGGAAGGGGCGGTTGGTAGGTACTGACACCAGACCTGTGCCGGGAGACACGCCTTCCTGAGACAGATGGCAAGGGCCTGCTCTCACTTTCCCCGCAGGACCGGCCTAGCTGCGTTGTGCCTGCCAGGCCGCAGGAGGCGCTGTTTCCGCCCTGAGTTACGTCACGACCTCGCCAACCACACGCCGGCCTCACTGCGCGCCGGTTCGTCATGGCCGCTGCCTGCGCGCTTCGGATCTTGTACCGGACAAGACCAGCGTTGCGCTGTGTGCCAACGGAGCTGCAATGGTGAGCCCAGACCCTGCGCCCCGTTCCTTCTCTTCCCCGAGGACCCGCGACCCCCAGTCTCACGCCATTCCTTCCCGTTCTGGGAGAGCCGGAACTTAGGTCCCTGAGCACCCTACACCTTCTCCAGGATTCCACGGCGTGCTTATCGGCTTACGCCGACGGACGACGAGCTGTACCAGCGGACGAGCATCTCACTGCTGCAACGCGAGTCACCGCACAGCATGTATATCGACAGCTACAGCAGCCGGGGCTTCACCGTTAACGGATACCGCGTGCATGGCCCCTGCGCGCTGCTCCCGCAGTCCGTGGTGCAATGGAACGTGAGTCCAGTACGAGGAACCCGGGGTTTCAGTCACAAGTTCCCCTCTCTGTTCTGGCAAACGTCTTTTGTCTGCTACCCGGTACGGGAAGGGTCTGGAGTGTGTGTAAGGCTGCAGTTACTTGTTGAACCGGCCTCCTTCCTACACAGGTGGGATCCCACCTGGATATCACAGAAGAGAGCTTCGCCCTCTTCTGGATGCTGGCGCCCCCAATAGGTATGAGGGGAGGACGGCAGGGCAGAGGTACCCTAACCTCGAAAGACCAGGCCAGCCAGCCATGCCTATCCATATCCCTTCCTAGAGATTATTGTGGTTGGCACAGGAGACCGGATGGAGAGGCTGCAGCCCAAAGTGCTTCGAGCCATGAGGGAGCGCGGCATTGCAGTGGAAGTGCAGGACACGGTGAGGCCCAGGATTTGGGAAAGCTGCTGGGAGCCCAGGCCTAGACTAAGTCAGGCTCATATATCAGCATCTCTTATTTACAGCCTAATGCTTGTGCCACCTTCAACTTCCTGTGTCATGAAGGCCGGATAACAGGAGCTGCTCTTATCCCCCCACCTGGAGGGGCTACTCTCATGTCTCTGGCCCAGTCTACAGAATGAACCACCATGAACTGATCTCTAGGAAAGTCCTTTCTGTGGGATGCAAGGGCACACAACACTTTGTTTGCTAGACAATCTGTTTTTCTTGTTTTGTTAGCTGTGTTGTTAGATAGGGGCTGCTGCTAGGGGTGCTTGTGAAGAAACAGGTCACTTTTTTCATATAGATTCCTTGGGACTGTGTTTTTCCAGCGGTGGGAAGGCAGTATTGGAACACATTCTAAATTTAATTTTTAATTTGCCTGTTTGCTCACATGCAGGTTTGAGGGCATTTCAATGTCTTCTTTCTTCACAAGGTCCTTTAGAGACTCAAATTAGGTAACATGTAATTACTCTTGACCTGATCACATGTGGCCAAAGGCTGGGCTATCCAGAGGACCTGAAGATACTGAGCCCTCCTAAGGAGCCAGAGGCTTTTTTAGATTATGTGTGAGAATGAACCACCTTGGCTCCCTAGGGGTTTCGAGTTGGCCTGTGAGCTCTTCCAGGGCCACAGAGCATCCTCACACCTGAGATTCTTCCTTGAATTGAGAATGTTGTGTTTGTGTGCATCTGTGGTGATACAACATTAGAAACCAAACATCACTTTTTTCCAACTTTTATTGAAAAACTGAGGGATTGCTCGATCAAAAAAGCCGCTTCTCATACCTACAGATAGAAGGATCAATTGTGAGATGAGGGCAGGAGGAAGGAGGGTGACAGGAAACAGGAAAGGGGTTGGGGTTGTTGATAACTTACGAATGGAGGCTGTGGACACCACCTTCTACCTGAGCTGAGGATGTTCTCTTCTCAAACTTGAGTTCCCCAGAGTACATCATGGCTCTGAATAATAGAATGACTGGTGTCAGATGTGGGTAGCTGTTCTAGAATCAACCTCTTACTGTAATCCCCAAACTCACCGGACTTGGGTCAAACTCTTGGCACCGATGTCCTGACAGGAGTGTTGAATACCTGCGATCAGGTAAGGGACGAACTTGTGTATGGATCCTTTGTCTTGCACAGCCCCAGACACACCCTGGGCCACCTTGATTTTGTCAGCTTCACTGTAGAAACAGGTCAAGACATGGACAAGGTCACAGCAGGTGCTGAGGTCAGGGAGAGGGATGGGAAACTATGGGGAACTGGTCTGACTGTCCCACCTAAAATATCGGTTTTGGCTGCTAAGATGTTTGTCCATGGCATCAAGAGAACCCATCCCACGGTATTTCTTCAGCCGGATCCCATCAGAGAAGAAGTATTCACCAGGTGCTTCAGTAGTAGCAGCCAGGAGGGAACCCATCATAACTGCGGACAGAGGGTGCTTAAGACAGCCTGAGCTGTAATGAGGAAAAAGGGCCCCACCAGACTCCATGGTGCTGAGCCTAACCTGTAGAGGCTCCAAGGGCCAAGGCTTTGGCAATATGGCCCACGTTTTGTATTCCTCCATCAGCAATGACTGGAACACCAAAGCGTCGAGCATACTCTGATACTTTGTATACAGCTGTTGCCTGGGGCCGCCCACAGGCCAGCACTGTTGAGAGATGAAGGAACAGGTGAGCAGGGTTACTCGGGGCAGGCAAAGGGCCCAATGGCCAGTCAGCATACAGGAGCTACACCTGCACCAGAACTTCAGCTGGGCTGATGAAGAGGTATGTCTGAATTGACCACACCTGTGCCACCTGTCTTAACCAGTACAAATAGTTGTGCTGGCTGCCACTGACCTGTGTGTGCGTACGTGCATGTGTGCAGGATCCAAGGCAGCCCTCAGGCACATGCAGTCGTAGCTGCACCCAGCTGGTATCACAAGGGGTCAGTCTTAGCTAGAAACACTTAGCTAGCTGATGGCAGGTAGGGCAAGAGTCACCGTGCAGTTAGTACCCAGAGGCACTGAGTCAGGCCCAGTCCTCTTCCCTGTATAGTGGGCAGCTCAGGCAAGATCAGAGCAACAGTCACGTGGATGGTTGGAAGCAGACTCAAGAGTTGGTACTGCAGAAGATGTGAGCAGAACAGGGTCTGTCTGGGTAAGTTTCTGCCCTATAAATGCCCCAACAGAGGACTGTTGTAGAGCAGCCCTGAAAACAATGGTCTGTCCATCAGTCTGCCCTACCCACCCATTAGCACCACAAACCCCAGGAGCTACAGCTACAGTCAACCAAGCAGCCGGGCAGTGGGCAGCTGGGCCGGGCCAGTGGGCCGGGCCGGACTTACTATAGCAGCCCGTGACAGTAGAAGGGCATTTGGGGCTGTGGGACTTTATGTCTGGAGGGATCTTGGGAGCCACTAAATAAAACAAACAGACCAGAGTTTAGAGAGGGCGCAGAGCAGGAGCAAAGAGGCCAGGCTAGGCAGGGGGTGGCAAGTGAGGACTGATAATGAGCTCATCTTGCTTCCAGCATATGTCACCCATCCAAAGGTCTTACTTGGACCCTAGACCTGCCCTATTGGAGGGCTCACAGTACAGTTCCCATAAAAGTGTTTGGCCCCAGGGCAGGTGGGGATAATAAGGGCCCCTTGCTGAAGCCAGCATTTCTTAGGGCCCTGAAAAAACATCTTACCTTCCTGGGTAATACAGATGGAGCCACTGCCCATGCCCACCCGCAAGGCATCCACACCTGCATCAATAAGGTTCTTAGCCTGAGCAGCAGTCACCACTGCAGGGAGAGAGGGAAAGGATCTTGGAAAAAGTCCAGGTGAGAACCCAGCTCCCCATATTTTTTCAGTGCCCAGTTTTGCCTCACCATTGCCTCCAATGACCTGGAGACTGGGATATTTCTCTTTGATGTACTTGATCATGTTGATCTGGAAGATGGAATTACCCTGGGAAGAGTCCTGGGACAGGGAGAAAGTTGTACTGAGACTGCTGCATGGCAGCTGATCCTGCTACTTTATCACCCGATCCCTTCAGTACAACAGCTCACCAGAACCACTACATCCACACCAGCCTGGGCTAGTAAGTCCAACCGGTATTTGTCATCTTCATGTGTGCCAATGGCTGCACCACACAGCAGCTGCTTCTTAGTATCTTTGGAGGCCAGTGGGTAATCCCGGTTCTTCTTCAGGTCTGTCCGGGCGATGATGGCCACCAGCTCGTCGTTTTCATTTACAATGGGCAACTTTCCTGGGTGGGTACAGTGCAGGATATGAGTCAGGGTTCCAGGCTTTGGTTTCAGGCTCCCTTCTGATCTCTAGAATTCACTACTTACCCTTCTTGCTTCGCTGCAGAATTTCATTTGCTTCCTTTAATGTGACGCCTGCAGGAGCCACCACCAAGTCTTCCCGCTTTGTCATGATCTGAGAGGGAATGAAAGGGCCAGGTAGAGTGACCACAGATCCTACACTAATTCAGGGGTATGTTTCCAAAGATTACCAAGTTTCTCCAGTATCCAAATCACTCTCCCCCCTCAAAGAGACCCAACAGTTCTGCAACTGTCTCGTGTGGCAAGAGAACTGAAGAGAAAGGATAACATGGTGCCTTCTCAATACACGAGAAAAAGGGCAAAGCTGTTATCTACCATAGGGTAGCAAACAACACAATGCGTGCTGGCAAGTATCTGGGCAGTTGAGAGCCTCTCGGGTAGGGGAATGTAAGAATCCTATGGTTGGCTGGGCAACCTGTGAGATGTCATTCAGGCAAAAGACCCTTCCCTCCTCTAATCCCCACCCCTGTATTTGGCTACCAGTTTGGCTGTGCTCTGCCAGTGCCACCCACCTCTTCTAGAGATCGGTCATGCTCCTCCTCCTTGAGAAAATCAATGTCCCGGGAGGAGATGATGCCTACTAGGCGGCTTCCCATTCGGCCTGTGTCTGTGATAGGGATCCCACAGAAGCCGTGCCTTGCCTTGGCCTCAAATACATCTCTTACACGATCTTTGGGGCTGAGTACCACAGGGTCTGTTATGAATCCCTGCTCATATTTCTGGAAGGAAAAATGATAGGAAAAGGGCATTAATTGCTTCAGGATCTTGGGTCTGAAGCATATGGGGGTCTTTGCCCAGCTCCCTCTTGGGCGTGTCATATGACCAAATCACACCAATACTTAAAACTCCTCCCAAAAGTGAAGGACAGGAACTAAAGTTATGCTGAAGGCACTGTCCAACTGGTCTTCTTCCACTGCCTGCAGACACTGTCTCAGGCTTTCTTCAGAAATTAAAACTCCACAAAAATGGAAGGGTACTAGAGTAGGAGTAGGACAGTCCCCCACCGTCCCACAGTTCAATTCCCAGGAGCTCTTGGCCAGGATATCTGCCCCTCTGACCTTTACTTTCCGAACTTCATTGGCCTGGAATTCAGGTGTAGAGTTGTGGTGGATGAAGCCAATTCCACCAGTAAGCTTTAGAATGAACAGAAGGGAGAGAGGGACAAGTTGTTAGGTTTAATTACATGCTTTGGGGGAAAAAAGATAGACTCCTTCTGCCCTAGCACCCCATGTGGCTTACCGCCATTGCTATGGCCATCCCAGCCTCAGTGACTGTGTCCATTGGGGAGGAAACAAGTGGAGTCTTCAGAGTAATTTTTTTGGTCAACGCAGAGGTCAGGTCCTAAAGAATTAAGACCCATTAGTGTGGGAAAGCATCTCATTTACCTCAGCTGGTACCAAAGCCTCCACAAAAGACCTGCACATGAGGCCGCGAGACCACTTCATAGAATCCACCCCCAGGTCCAATTTGGTAAGGGTTAGGGTTAGCAGCTCAGGTCTCAATTACTGGCAATACTCACCACTTGGTCTGCAGTGAAGTCGATGTATCCAGGAAGAATAAGAAAGTCACTGTGTGGAGAGAGATTGGGAGGGTTCAGGTTTAGCGTAACTTGATATTCTATCCCCATAACTCACGCCATAAAGAATCTGGGCATGGAGTAGGAATAACTAAGCATATGTGTCACAGGCAAGGAAAAGAGAGATGGGGAAAGAGAATCTTCTCTGCTATCGTCTGTCATCACTACTATTGGCACCCAGACAACTCCATGTGCCCTGAACACTTGAGTTTCTGGCGGTGAATTTAGGCACTGCCAAGTTGCCACCCCTCACCCCGTACCGCTCCAAAGCTGGCAGTGCCAGTATATGGAGAATGACAGGAACCTGCTTCCCACTCCCACGATGACTCAAGGGAAGCCCCTTTCCTGCCACTCAGCGTGCCGCCCGTTTCCTCGCCCAGGTGAGCCCGATAGGTCCGCACTTGTAGGTGAGACCGTCTCCGCAATTGAAGAGCTGCTGTGCCGTGAGTCCGTCGTCTGGCACATACGACGTGCCCCCGCTAATCAAATAGTCAGCCATGACCAGCGCGAAGCAAAAGCGCGTGTCTCTAAGGCCCGCGCAGCAGAGGCCGAAGGCGACTGGGCCACGCTAATATAAACCCGCTGACAGCGTCACGGCGCCTACGTCGCTTACGACAGCACGTACCACGAACGGGCGAATCACCGGACGGGGGCGGAGCAAGGTAAAGAGCGCATGCGCATTAACCCGACTGTTCACAGCCACTCACAGCACTGGGCGAGGCTTCCCATTACATCTCTTCTCCCTTTGCTAGTTTGCCAGGGTAGGACGTTGGCCCATTCAAAACTTTTATTTTAAACAGGCACGGTTTTACTTTCACTGACCCGCCAGGCACCTCCCAAAATAATGAGGCATTGTTCTCAAGCATATTGAAAAGACGTGCTTGTCATTCTTAATAAACAACTAGAGTAAGAATACATAAGAGAAACAGAGTGGTATCTTTATATGATACACAAGGTGTATGTTACAAGAATTCCATCAGGCACAGGAGCCTCAGATTTAAGGCCTCAATGTTAGGCCAAAAAAAAGTAAAGTTTTTACTTTAACATCTAAAATGTCACTTGTCTTAAAGAGGATGTAATAGAAATTGTCTTTAATAAATCATAATTGAAGTTCTCGTTTTCCTTCCATTAAGATGCTAGTTTATGTCGGAATATGAAGAAAGAAAACACATGGCTCCTCTGTGGTCAGCGAGGTCTGCCAGTCCAAGGTGGGACTGGGGAGATTTTCTGGAGGGTCCATCCATCATTCATTCCATCTTTCTTAAGGAAGGGAAGGGACCACATTTCTATTAGCAGTCTAGGCCCTTTCCCCAGACCTCAGGTGAGGTGGGAAGGGGAAAAAGTCAACCAGCAACTTTCCAGGCCATCTGGCTCTCAGGAAACTAAGAGCCCCCACAAGCTGAGGAGTCTGCTGCAGCAGGTCTATGAAGATGTACAGGGAGCAGAGTTTCCTTTTACGTTTAAAACAGAAGCAGCCTGGAAGGCTTCAAAACTACACCAATTAAAAAAAAGGAAAAATAAAACGGAGGCCTCTTCTTTAGTGTCAAAGTCTGTCCAGTTCTTCCTGGCTGGTCTCCCCGGCACACTGGCAGAGGCAGTTCAGTGCATGGTGCTTGCGTTAGCCACAGCAATGGCCTCCTGAATTTCTCGTATCACCAGGATCCGGGTCAGCATCTGTCCCATCTGCTCTCTGCTGATAGGCTGGACGGAGTACCAGATGGGGCTGTTGGGGGCCACTACCGGTTCAGGAGTCAGGTAAAAGGTATCATTCCGTCCTTTCACACTCTGGGGGCTGAAGAACATGTTGGTAAAGGCTGGGTAAGACCTGTACAAACTTAACCCTCCCAATTTAAACCTCCCAGAGAGATACTGTCTGCGAAAGCTGTGAAGGTAGCAGCTCCACTGCAGGACCTCCTTTGGGGAGATTGTAAAATACCAGAGTCAGGCTACCTTTTTCCTGCTCCTCCCTCACTTGCAGCCAGCTGCAATCTGCTCCTTCTAATGACCTGCCTAGGTCTCATCTGGGGTCAGTTAGTTGAGCCAAGCCTTATCCTACTTTCATTGCCCAGAAGGTCCACTTCAAGTCTTTGCTCTATTTTCTCCACTCCATCCATTAATAGTATCTCTCAAGTCTACCTCAAGGACCTTTATCTACCTTTCCAGTGCACAAAGATGTTAGGTCCCTTACTTGAGATCCCCCAACCCCAAATGTTGAGCTGTATACCTCTTTTAAGCAATTAACACATGCTATTCTTTTTACCAGTTATCTGCCTAACACTTATATTCAAGGGCTACTGAGTCATGCATGTTACAATCACAGATGTTACAGCAGTAAGTAAGAACAACAGCACCTGCCTTATAGCGTTTCCAGATTACAGAAGAGACAGAACAATTAAACAATTACAAACAGTGGTGAGTGCTACAAAGGAAACAGCCAGGGGACTTGATATAGCCAAGGAAACAAGTGGGAAATCTAGAAATGCATCCCTGATAAAAGTTGTGTTTAAGGTGAGATGACAAATGAGAGCTAAGTAGCCAAAGGGGTAAAAATAAGGTGCTTGCCCAACAAAAAAATATTTGGTGCCAAAGCCTTGAGTGAAGACGACAGCATGGTGTCCTTGGGTGGAAAGGAGCAAGTGTGGCTACAGCCAAGAGTTTAGTGGACATGAGGTTCATAGGGGAAGTACACGAACGTCCTTATTACCCATGTAAGGATTTACAGTCTTTCTCTGTAAAATAATGGGAAGCCACTGACAGTTTAAATTTACAGGACATAAGACCTGCAACCTAGAAAGATCATTCTAGTGTTACTATGTTATATGTCAAACTGCAGGAGCAAGAGAAGCAAAAGCAAAAACTAAGGGCAAGAGTCCCCTAAGAAATGAGAGTGGCAATGATGAAGCCCAAAGTCAAGATGATGCTGTGTCATTCCTTAATATGCATTAGAAGCAGCCTCTCTGTACCTGTCATCTCTGTCATGAACAGTGACCATCAGGGAGTAGGAACTCCCTTTACATCACATATCTTGAGAAAACCAGCCAGGCTGCTTCTAAATTTAACTTAATGAAAGTGTGGGTTTCCTCTTAATATGGGACTAGGGTATGTCTCGCTTCTGTGACAATATACAAAGGTGAATATACCCATGCATATATGCACAGACACATGCACACACACAAGGTCACCCGGTCACAATAAAGCCTCCTCACCATTTGAAGAGGTAGAAATCGTAGAGCTTGATGGGACACCTCAGTGGATTCTCTGGATTTTCCGTCTGTTCTGCATACATGTCATCTGTAACTATAAAACACACCCCACACACAGACATGGTATAAGTCTGTCTGAACTCAAGTGCCAGATCAAGAACCTTGGGCTCAAAGCCACCTTAACTAGGAAACACTGGGTCAAAAAAAGGGTATGAGGCATAGACAATGGGGCTATGAAGAAGAAAGGAAACTATTCTTGGATTAACACCTGGCCTTCAACACTAATCATTAGTCCCCCACGTACTACAAAGGAAGGGCAAAACAAGTAACATTTGCTTCTGCTGCTCCTGTACCCATCCTCTACCTTTCTGGCCAGTCTGGTGTATCCCAAGTGCCTTCAGGTACCGGATACTCGTGCTTTTATCCTTGGGATTTGAGGGATTCTTCTTTGTCTGTCGCAAAACCTTGGAGAAGGCCAGCTTCATGTGCTGGTCCACTGTCTTCAACAGGAAGTACCTGGACCGCAAGCGAAAGCAAGGCAGAGGGAAGGGTGCCGGGAAGAGACTGTGACTTACCCTCCACCCGTCAAAGCTTCAGAAGAACTGCTGCCCACATTCTCAGGATCTGGGCAGACCCACACCCAAGCACAGAGTCCAGTGGAGGAGCCATATCAGGACTGATGGTAGGGATCTGGGAAGGCTGTTTGCCTCACTGGTCATCACACAAAATGCAGCCAAGCGGGGTTGGGGCCTTTCAGTAGCCCAAAGGCTCTCAAATATGTGTCAGAGGAATTCAGAAGTCCTCCTGGATAGCTTCCACCCTCTTCACTGGGCAGACCCCAGCAGTGGCTAAGCATGAAGCCTCCAGAACACTTACTTGGTGTTAAAGAACATGAGGGTGGTCAACAGGGTGGAGGGGGAGTGAGCCCCAAGCTGCTTGCACTCCCACAGCATCTCCTCAGTCACATGGCTGGGCAGGACATAGCCTAGGAACAAGAGAGCACTGCTACAACACAAGAAGACAGGAGGTCCCACAAAGGTACGCGAGAGTACAACTCCAACAATCAACATCTCTCTATAATGTGGCAGAATCATTTGGAAACTTATTAAAATACCTATGGCTGGGTGCCAATCTGAGTTTCTGGAGTAGGACCCAAGGACTTCATTTCTAACATGTTACCATGCTATGCTAATGCTATTGTTTTAGGGAACACAGGGAAACAAACAGTGCCACATGATTATTTTTACATGACATTAAATTTTACCTTTACTTCAAAGTTAATTTGGGGCAAAAAGACGGTTCTCAGGGAGAGTAAAACACTTAAAACTACAAATTACACTCTGCACATATGTGCACTTGTGTGCATTTTCAAAGATGTCCAGGACTCAATGAACTTGTATATGTACACTTTTTCCCTTGGGTAAGATCTCTCCTATTGTATCTAGAAGCAAGTCCAGATCTCTGGATAAAAGGGAGACTGACATTCAAAACTTTTACACGTTTTCCTTGCAGAGCATGTTTTATTTCAAAACCCTAGTTCATTAGTGAACCCAGAGCTAAGCAAGAACAGATGCCAGGGGTTGACCAAGGACCTTGGGTAGCCAGGTCTACTGCCAAAGGAATATGTCTGGGTTAACTACCAAGCTCACTTCACAGGAATAGTCAATAAGCAACTATTAGGGACGTGAGGACAGCAGCAGAGACTACTTACTATCCTCCGTATGGGTTTCAGGATTCCCCAGGCAGGCAGGGAAAGGAACCACTTTTAGGAAACAAAAAAAGGACCAGTCTGCTGCCCAATATATCCTTCTTCTCTGTTCTTGCCAAAGCTAGTCCTTTGTCTCTAGTAGTCCACTGCTGTCTCTTTAAGGCTACTCTACTTTTGCCCATCCTTTGGCTACTTTAGAGTGACAACTGGAAAAGCTTTCCTGCTTTCATACATAAATAAAAAAGACATGATGAATGGCAACAGATTGGCCTTGTTGGGAAGGGTGAGCTCCTAAGTCTCAGGGAAGCCTTGCCATGTCCCACTTACTTTAGGGTCACTCTGTCAGTTCTCTTTGGTGTCACTTCCTTAAATTTACACTCCTCTGAACAACACAATTTAAAAGTGAACTCTAATGCCTGAGGACCAGGGCTCCTGCTATCAGAGAAAGGAGATATGAAGAGATGTTATATAAAAGGCTTGTAGTTCTCAGTCTGAATTGTAAGCAGCATCAAAATAATGAATTTTACCTTAAAATTATTTTTCTAGTTCTGTCTACTGAAATGCCTAGAGAACATGACTAATATCCAGTAGCAATATTCACCCTCAGCACTTAGAACGTGGTACTGGAATACTATTTTCCACTAAAGGAATTAGGCTCCACAGAAAACTGGTTGG